AAAAAAAAAAAAAAAAAAAGGCATGGGATCCAACAAATAAGAGTGTCAAAGGAATCCCCAGCTGTGCAGGAAGCACAGATATCAACCAGTCCAGATGGGACCAGAGGAGGGCCTGCTCCAGGAGAACATCTCCAAGGACAAGAAGGAACTGATGGCTACCTGGGGTGTTAGCACAGAGAGAGAGTGACCCTCTGATACAGAGTTAGGGATAGATTAATAGGAAACTAGGCAAATGAAAAAGACAGTTATTAATTCCAGGGAAAGCAAAAAGTTGTGAAGGAAAGAAAATGTAACCATGGCACACCACATTCTCTGCTGTGAATCATATTTATTAGTAATAAAAATGTGAGCACTGAATTCTGATCTCACCAATACTTAAGAAGTAAAATGTTGGAGGGGACAAAGGTAAGTATGTTTCAGTGTGCAAGGAGTTAGGGAGGTAAGAGAGCTAAATCTCATTTTCCATAGTAGGACATTAATAGACAATATTTGAATTGGGAGGAAAAATCAAAAAACACCAGGATCAGACTGTCACTTAGAAATATGGAAACAAGAATCAGAAGTGGCTAAAATTATGATGATGCTTCTAGAGAGGGCAATTAGAGGTGGAAAGAATGGAGCTGGGTACTGCTGGTTTCTATTATAAAGAAAAATGCAATACATGCTGATTACAGAAAGACTGGAAACTACAAAAAAGTAAATATGAGAATAAAAAAGTCCCTATAATACTATAAATCTACTAGTGCATTTTCTTAGAGTTTATATGTATTTTATATTATTGGAGTATACTTTGTATATTTTATATTTTACTTTATTCACTTGACAAAAACATTTTCCCATTTATTATGTTCTCATACATATTTTCACAGCAATATATTATTTTGTAATAAATAATATTATTTACTTAGGTGTAACAATGTAGGTCTATTTTCCTAATATTTTATTTTGAAAAATTTCAGAGACAGGTGAAAGAATTATTTAGTGAAAACCATATATCCATCACCATGGTATTACAAGTAATGATTTGCTATATACATTATCTTCCACACACTTATCAATCTACCTCTCTACCCATTCATTGATCTATTTTATGTGGTGAGGCATTTCAAAGTAAATTGCAGGCTTTGGTAAACTTCATCCTAAACACTTCATCAGGCATACCATTGGTTGGAGTTCAGTATCTGCTCATGGTTATTTTCCTTAAGTTTTACATAAAATGATAAGCATAAATATTAAGTATATAATTTTATAAATTTCAACAAATGCATAATCCTATGAAAACTAAATTGCTATCAAGATGTAGATTACATTATACTCACCCCAGACAATTCCCTCTTATACCTTTCCCTCTCGATCCATATCCCTACCCCCTACATCAACAGAGGCAGTCAATGTCCCATTTTTAAAATCTATTCCAAAATTTCATGTAATTGGAATGATACAAATGTATTTTTATATGAGTTTTTGTACTTAGCATAATGTTGAGATTCATTCATTTGTGGAGTGTATCATTAGCTTGTTCTTTTATCTTTCTGAGTAGCATTCCTTTATACAAATATGCAACAGTTTATTTAATCTATTTTCTTGTTAATGGCACTTGGTGTGTTTCTAGTTTTTGCCTATTTTTAATAAAACTGTTACAAACATTTCTTTTTCTTTTTTATTATTTAAAGTATTACATATAGTAGTACATATATGTATTTTTCCCCCATTGATCTTCCCCCAGCCTCCCATCCCCCCTGTTGCATGCCCTCATCTCCCCACAAGATAAAAAGTTTTTGTTTTGCATAGGTATATGTTTTCATTTCTTTTGGGTAAATACCCAGCAATGAAATGGTTCTACAGTTAATGCTTTACTATATACATCCTCTACCACACATTCTTGATTTCCTTTACATTATTAAGAAATTTTCACCTCAGCATTTCTCAGGGTTAGAGAAACATGGCATTTGGTTTTAATTTTTACTGAGTCCTCCTGGCCAGGATTTTCTGGAATTGTTCCAAATCCTGACTGAACAGTATAGCTGGAAGGAATAAATGGCAGATTTCAGGTGCTACTTGTTGTCCTCAAGTGAGATAAAAACTTTGGGGGTATTTTTAGAGTAGTTGCAAACATATGATCTATATCTTAAAAGATGGCCAGTATTTTTAAAGTAACAAATAAACAAAATGTATTTATAAAACAATCTATTTCTCCAATATAAAAAACGTTGTACTTATTTCATTCCATTTGCATGGTAAAGTGTGCTTCACTAGGGAAGAAGAGCTTTCTCTGTTCCCTACCAGTTAGCTATGATAATTGATCAAACCTTACCCATTTATATTTGTATACTTAGTTCATTAGTTCTCCCTACAAACACTATAAATTCTTTATGTTCAATCTTTATCCTACATTATCCAGATAGCTTTCTGTGAGGATACTGAATAGGATTTAAATTCCCACACTGGAATGTAATACTTTCAGAAAAGAATCATTTATTGCTATCAAAGCAGTAATAGTTAATAGATTATTCCTTAAAATAAGATCCAGACTTCAAGCCCAAACACTGTCACTTTCTATGCAATTCTTGGATTTTCTACAACCTTCTCTAAGTTGTACATAAATAGAGATAAAAAGAGTCCCTACCTCATTTGTTTGCCATGAGGAGATATGGTAAGGCACATAAAAGTTTGCGACAATTCCTGCCCTATTGTTATTATCATTGTTGTTATTTCCCTCCACAGTAAATGCCCAATAAACAATTGCATAATTGGGAGGGCTGGGTGAAAAAGGTGAAGAGATTAAAAATTACAAGTTGGCAGTTACAAAATAGTCATGAGGATGTAAAATACAGGGTAGGGAATATAATAAATGATAATGTAATAATTAAGTATGGTGCCAGGTGGGTACTTGAAATATTGGTGGGATTACTTTATAAATTACATGGTTGTCTAACTACTATGCTGTACACCAGAAACTAATACAAAATAATATTGAATGTTAAGTTAATTGGGGGGAAAAATAAAAATGAGTCTCTTAAAGATTTGCAAAGGTAACAGAGATAATAATTAAAAACGGTGGTTCAAACACAAATCTTCTAATATCAATGCCCATGTGCTCAACCACTCGCCCATACGGGTGTCTGATTCCATTATTCTTTCTTTGTTGTAGTTTGAATATTCCACTTTTAACTTAAGCAAATAATAAAATGAAAGTATTACTTAAAAGAAAAACAATTGCTTAGATCAGTACTTGTTGAATAAAATAATGCTATTTTGGTGGAAGAGAAAAACTCACAAATTACAAAAACAATTTATAAAAAATAATAATTGTAAGTTTAAATATATTCTATTGGGGGGGAGAGTTAAGAATGAGAATCAGTGAGAATCCTATTTTATAGGGAAGGCCTACTTGAAAGAGATAACATGTAAGTTGTGTCTTAAGAGATGAGAAGTAGCCCTAACCAGTTTGGCTCAATGGATAGAGCGTCTGGCTGAGGACTCAGGGATCCCAGGTTTGATTCTGGTCAGGGGCATGTGCCTTGGCTGCAGGCACATTCCTAGTGGGGGGTGTGCTGTAGGCAGCTGATCGATGTTTCTCTCTCATCGATGTTTCTAGTTTTCTCTCCCTCTTCCTTCCTCTCTGTAAAAATCAATAAAATATATACTTTTTAAAAAAGAGATGAGAAGTAGCAAGTCACACACACACAAAAAAATGGGGAGAACAGTACTCCAGGCAGAAGAATAACATGTGCAAAGGTCCTGAGGCGGACATGTCTGTGAACTTTCTATGAACCAGAAGACCATGAGTGTGTTGGGACAGAGTAAGGGCAGAGTGGCACCAGATGCAATCACAAAGAGTAGAAAGTTTGGCTTTTGGTCTAAGTGCAAAGGGAAGACATTGAAGGGTTTTAAGCAAAACAATGACAAGATCTTCATACTTATCCATGACTCACAAAAACAATTTGAAGGAGGATAAAAATTTCTGAAAATGTTTGAAACTTGTTGTTTAGAGAAACTTAGAGCATATAAGTAGAATACAATATTTTCCATTATAATTGAAGTGATTGATTGCCAACAAACCAAAAATCCTTTTGGGATACTTAATCAAGATTTCATCCATTTTCTTTCACACCTCTTATGAATATGCAAGGACTACTGTGACCCACGTAAAACAGAGGAAGATAAGAGTTAATGAGCTAGGAAGCAATGGTTAGAGTAACTGAGAAAAATGGCCACAGTTGATAGACAGGTCTGAGGGCACAGGATGGAAGCATGTAGCTGAGCTATGAAGACTACATTAGATGAGAGAGGATTTGGAGGGTGCTATTGGATAGATTTCTTACAAAAAGAAAGGGCAGGATTCCAGTATAAAACTGTGAGACATTGTAAGATGTCGGACATTCTGGAATAAATGGTATAAGGAGACTTATAGAAAATATAAATTTACATATCATATAATTATTATTACAAGTCAATCTCCCCTTAGGGTAACATAGTTTTGCCATTGTAAGCTTCTTCCTGGAATGTTGGGGGGATTATTTTCTCTTGAAGCTGCTTCATTCCCTTCATATTCTTTTTTTTTTAATTTGCTTCATATTAGTGACTCTCTTGGCACTAATTAAGACCACTGCCATTAATGTAATGAAGCATTTCTATTTTCATATGATATATTGAGTAATTAACAATATTTCCTCTGTTAAGGAAATTCATTCCTAAGGAAAAGCTTATGGGGAAATGCTGGCATGTTCAAATTTCCATCACCTGCTCACTGATGACAGATTGATTTAAAGGTGTACATAACAGCCGAGCTTTTCCAAATGTGTCAGTGTTGCTGTTTTTTATAAAATTGTATTATTATGAGATAGTATGTGTCATAAGAATAGCTTTGGGGTTAGTTTTAACTTTTTTTCTTGGAGGATGAAGAATAGTTTATTAAATGTCAGATATAAACTTCATGACAACTAATATCTTTCATTTCACAACAGCTGATAATAAGAGCAAAAATGGTGAATACCTACTGTTGCCAGGTAACTGCATCCACTGTGCTTCCTGCCACCTTCATGAATCTGTAAGGAACAAAAATAACAAAGATATTTCAACTTGAAGCAAACCATATCTACAGAGTTAAAATGAAATAGGCTGTGACATACATGAATTAGGCCAATGCCTGGGTAGCTATGCTTTCTGAGAATGTCCACAGACCTTTTATAAACATGGCCTACCCAACAGCTATTGAAGTTAAACTTCACAGAAGATAAAGGTAACTCTACTTCCAGCTTTCCACACATCCTAACCATCTGGAACTCAAGACCCAATAGGACATTATGCCTATGTCTGTCTTCCCAAGCCCATGCCTGACAGCTCCCACATCACTCTCACGATGATCAAAATTTATTTGCCACATTTTATATTCTCTAAAGACTCTGAGATTTGCTAGAAAACAAATAAAGGATAACATTTCCCAAGAATCAGAACACAATCAATGCCTCTGAAAAACCTCAGACCTCTCCTTTTGAAGGGAGCATAGGGAAACCCAATTTACTTATCTATGCTAATAATAGCCTAGATGGTGTCACGCCCTCACATCGTCACAAGATGGCCATCATAATATGGCCACACTCATAGTAGAGGATACAATTCATGTAAATATATTTTATTTATTTTTAAAAAATGATACTTAGCCCTGGCGGCGCTTTGCACACAATAAGGCCTGAGGATCCCGTGGCTGTGCATGGTGCAGTGGAGGCTGATCCCAGTGTCTCCACTGCCTCACGAAGAGGAGGTGGGTCGCAGCAGGGGAGGGCAGTTGTGGGCGAGCAGGCCAGCAGGGGAGGGCAGTTGAGGTCCCCAGGACAGCAGGAGAGGGCAGGGGGGGCCATCAGGTTGGCAGGGAGAGCAGTTTGGGACAATCAGGTCCTGGCAGGGAAGGGTAGTTGTGGGCAATGAGGCCAGCAGAGGAGGGCAGTTGGGGATGAGCAGGCCAGCAGGCAGAGTGGTTAGGGGTGATCAGGCAGGCAGGCAGGCAGATAAGCAGTTAGGAGCCAGCTGTCCTGGATTTTGAGAAGGATGTCCAACTGCCACAGTCGGACCTCCCCAAGGGGTCCTAGATTGGAGAAGGTGCAGGCTGGGCTGAGGGGACCCCCCCCCTCCACTGTGCACGAATTTTATGCATTGGGCCTCTAGTACAAGTATAAAGCATATCTAATATACTCCCATGATGGCCTGGGAGATATACCTTTCAATCCTGAGACCCTGAAGAACTTTTCTTCAGACAGAAACTATTTTCAATCAGGACTTCATAACTAAAGAACTCTTCTATTAGGAAGGGAGATGGTGTTTTTCAGGAAGACCCTATTCCTGCTCTACCCCAGCATAACATTGCCAGGTATACACATAAGCAAAGGGGTTGTGTTTTGTCCAAATAGAACTTCTGCTTTGCCATGATGGTAGAAGAGGATTGAGTTTCTATAGGTCTAGAAGAGAGGTAGAGAGAGGATACCAGGACTTAGCATTAGAGTGAAGTTTATAAAAGAAGATGAAGAGGAATGAGAGGAAGGAAATAGGGACTTGGATAGGGAGAGGAGAGGGGAGGAGAGAAGCCAAGTACTCTTTTTAAATCAATGTGCATAGAATCAGCTATCTGCTCGAACAGAGCGGGGGGGAAAACTAGAAAAAATACCGGGAGAATCCAAACAGATTAGCATCTCAAATACTATCCCTGCCACATATAAATTCTAAGCAGTGGGGACCTGATAATAATCTTACAAGTAGGATCATCCAAAAATAAAGAGGGGGAGATAAAAATTTACAACCCTCCCAAGGATATTTAAAAAATTAGAAAACCTAGACAAACTTAGATATAAGTATCTTTAAAAAAAAAATCCTCACCCAAGGATATTCTTCCTTTGATTTTTAGAGAGAGAGGGAAAGACAGAGAGAAATATCAATCTGAGAGAAATACATCAATTGGTTGCCTTCTGCATGAACCCCTCCCAAGGCCCTGGGCCAGGGAGGAGTCTACACCCCAGGTACCATGACCTTGACCAGAACTGAATCCAGGATCCTTCGATCCACAGGCAGAGATGCTCTATCCAGTGAACCAAACTGGCTAGGGCATCATTTTTTTAAAAAAATAAATAAAATATATTTACATGAGCTTTATGCTCCAAAATAATTTCTAAAATCTCTGAAATAGAAATACTATTTTACATAAAGCTGTCTCCATTTACATTTAAAAATAACCATAATGAAAATAACATTGACATTTATAGTGTTTTCTCACTGTAAAATTTTTTTCAGCTTTGTATGTGCATAACTTCTCATAACCCTGAAAACAACCTGAGTAGGCAGATATTCCTAATTTACAGTGGAGGAGGCTGAGTCTCATAGAGGTTATGAACTTGCTCAAATTCATAGAGCTCATTACTAAACCCAGGTTCTACCTTCAAATCCTATTTCAAATCCTACCTTTTTTCTAGGATCCTATGCTATCTCCAAGCTGTTTTCACCGAGGCCAAGAAGTGCAATATAACTTTTAGATGCAAAAAGATAAGTTAAATTTTGCCTTGAGAAAATACTACCAATTTATCAGAAAAGGCAAAAAGGCCTGCACATCTTCATTGCCTGCTGGCTTCCTCTCACAGACTTTAGCAATTCCATGCCTGTTTGTAAGACAAGGTGCTAAAGCAGGTATCAAAAGGTGACTGACTCACGGCCTCTGCTATAAGACAACCACAGTAAAGTCAAGAAGACGACACTGAGACAATTAGCTATCAGAATCTGTGTGTGTGCACTAGTGGTACAAACTAACTGTTATGAGACAGCAGTCAATGGAGCAGTTAGCTCTACCTTCTATGTTGTTAGAAGAGGGATAAACATTGAGAAAAGCTTCACATCACACATGACATAGCATCTGGCATTGAAAAAAGGGTAGGATTTTGCCATGAAGAGGAAGGCATAGAACAGCTTGAGCAAAGCAAGGAAAAGTCTATGTGAGTGTGTTCTCAGGAGTCCAGTGTGGCTGGATGTCAGGGAAAAGGTAAGAGAGTAGCAGGATGCCTGTGATGCTAGTGTGTCTGGCCTTTATCATATAACAACTAGGTACACTTCTATGTCCTATTCATCTTTGTATCACTACCACTCAACATATTAATCATAAAATACAGCTAGCTCAATTTTCATATATATTTGTTGGATTTACCTTGTGTTTAAACAAGAGTGGAAGTGTCAGGATCAGATACAAGTTTTAGGAAGCTCACTTTGCTTATGGTAAAGGTTATATGTAGGTATAGGTGTGGACTAATTGACTGGAGATGAATGTAGAAGTTGGGAGACTTTGAAAGGTGAGAATGAAGAAAAGACACAATTGAGAAACACTGGTAGAGCATCTAAGAGGGCCTGACAGGTGTGTTTACCTGGGGGAGAGTATCTCAAAGTTTAAAATTTTATTTTTATTTTTCAATAACATTCAGTGTGATTTTTTTAAAACTGATTTGAGGGGGAGAGAGGCACAGACAAAACACACACACACACACACACACACACACACACACACACACGAACACTTGTTGTTCCACTTATTTATGCATGCATTGGTTGATTCTTATATGTACCTTGACCCGGACCAAATCTGAGACGTTGGTGTATGGCAGTACTCTCTAATCAACTGAGCTTCCAGTCAGGGCCTCAATATGATTTTACATTAGTTTCAGGTGTACAGCATAGTAGTCATATAATAATACACTTTATAAAATGTTCCTCTGACATTTCTAGTACCCATATGGTACCATATATCGTTATTATATTATTGACTATAGTCCCTATGCTGTACTGCACATCCTCACATATTTTTGTTGATTTCAAAGAGGAAGGGAGATAGAAACATCAACAATAAGAGAGAATCATTGGTTGGCTACCTCTTGCACACCAGGGGGCTGAGCCCGCAACCTGGGCATGTGCCCTTGAGTGAAATCAAACCCGGTACCCTTCAGTCTCCAGGCTGACGCTCTAACACTGAGCCAAACCAACTAGGGTTGGACCCTGAACTTTTAATTGCAATAATGTTTTTGCTGATATGGGTAACCAAGGAACAGACTTTTGAGGCTGATATTGGTGAAAGCATTACAATCCTTCTGGCTCTGTCTCAGAGAACTTGAAGTAAATAGTTATAGATGGTAAGTTATGCATTCACAGAAAATTAGGAGGAAAAATTTAATTATCAATGCCTTGTTTGGCTAAAAAGCTTTAGACAATAAATAAAGAATACATTTAGCCCTGATTGGTTTGGCTCAGTGGATAGAGCATTGGCCTGAGGATGAAGGGTCCCAGGTTCAATTCTCGTCAAGGGCATGTACCTTGGTTGCAGGCACATCCCCAGTAGGAAGTGTGCAGGAGGCAGCTGATCCATGTTTCTCTCCCATTGATGTTTCTAATTCTCTATCCCTCTCCCTTCCTCTCTGTAAAAAATAAATAAAACATGTTAAAAAAAAAAAAGAATACATCTAATTTGGCATTTTGGAAGTTAGAAAATGGTTCTTCATGGTACTATAATATGAAGATACTCGTATGCATTGGATAATTTGTTCTACTATAGCTTGATAATTAAGTCCTTAAATACCCTTCCAAATTCAGAATTATAAAAAGAATAAGTAAACTAGAGTTAGGAACATTTAAAGTGATGGTAATGTTTTTTCCCCCACACTGGCCAAAGAAAATCTATAAGATCAAAAATTATAAATTAATGGACCCATATATACAATATTATATAGTTTACGGAGCAATATTTTAAAATTGAATATAGAAAAAAGACCTACCATGATCCTAGACAGGAAAATCAATTATTATTCTTAAACTAATTTATAGATTTAATAAAATTCTAATAAAAAATGCCAGCAGATATTTTTGAAACTTTATAAAAATCATCCTAACATTCATCTGAAGAAGCCAAGAAAACCCTAAAAAATTGGAATGAAGGGACATTTATTTGATGTACCATTTATTAAAATACACCATAAAAGCTGGAATGATTAAAACATTTCTAGATCAGAAGTTAGTAAGTAGATCTATG